GTCGAAGTTTTGTGATAATAATTGTGATAACAATTGTGAATAAACAATAAAACGATAAATTTTACTACGCAATACGTAAAAAATGCATTTGAAACGTCCGAGATGTCAGTCGGAAAAACAAGTTCACGCGTAGCAGGGCTGGTTGTGATTTATTCGATTCTACACATTTCAAATTCGTCATATTGTCTAACAATAAGTAATAGTATTTGTTTCTCGGTTCTGCAATTTTATTAAAATTGTAGTTTTGTTTAGCCGCGAGTATAATGTTTGCGAAAATCATGTGAAAAAAAGAAATAGAATGAAAATTATTAAATAGTAAAAGTTGCTACGTAATGTGTAAAATATGCGTATATTGTTAAAAAGTGCGCCAAGTACACGCACAACACGTAATACTTTAAATTAAAATTCTAAACTCAAACTAGTATTTATNAAAAAATGTATTTTATTTTTACTATAAAACATCTCCTTTTTCTACAAAACCTACGTTACAAAAGAAGTGATACGAAAAAGTAGCACCAAGTACACTTGTGTACTTACATATATTTAAAGAAATTATTATAAAAACATTATAAAAAAATAAAAAGTATAAAATTATTATATATGTATCAATAGTTAGACTTTGTCTTTTGTGAAAAGTCGAAATATAAAAAATAATTAAGGCAAAAAAACTTGGCGTGGCTGCACTAAAACTATAGCAGACATGTTTCTGTGCACGTGCGAGCTATTTTCAATTTATTTTATGTCACATATGTAACTATGAAAACTAAACCAATCAGCATTGCACTAAAAGTAAAATTCTTACATTAAGCAAATGCAAACTTGATAAGATTTTCACTTTTCCTCGTCTGGTTTAGAGAGAACAATGCTATTTCTCTGGAAATATTTATATAAAATAAATCTTTTATTTTTACCTTGACGATTAAGTCTATGTGTACATGAAAACAAAAACTTCGTTATAATTGACTTGGAGTATATAATACTTCGTTTAAATATGCTAAAGAATATGAGAATTACAAAATTTATTAATACTCCAACAGTAAAACACAAGTACCTATTATGTATAACAGTAATGCTTCAGAAAAGATAGTGTTTAATAAAACATTACTGATTACTTATCATCAGATTCATGCACACGTTCATGACAAACACATTTTATTCACTAACTGAGGTGCAGCTACGCCAAGTTTTTTTGCCTTAATTATTTTTTATATTTCGACTTTTCATAAAAGGCAAAGTCTAACTATTGATACATATATAATAATTTTATACTTTTTATTTTTTTATAATGTTTTTAATAATTTCTTTAAATATATGTAAGTACACAAGTGTACTTGGTGCTACTTTTTCATATCACTTCTTTTGTAACGTAGGTTTTGTAGAAAAAGGAGATGTTTTATAGTAAAAATAAAATACATTTTTTAATAAATACTAGTTTGAGTTTAGAATTTTAATTTAAAGTATTACGTGTTGTGCGTGTACTTGGCGCACTTTTTTACCTTTTTTTAGAAAGGTAAGTTTATTTATTACGGTACGATTTTCTTCATATATTATATAAATTACTATATTATAAATCAGTAAACATGATGCATTATAGATAATGATTGTTACTATTTATAAATGTATAAAATGTAAGTTTGAATTACAATAGTAAGAAATAAACAATTTCATAGTATATTTAGAATGTTAACATGCGTAACTACGTTTTTGTCTAGTAAAAATATTATCTATATTTAAATTAATAATTTATAATATTTATAATATGTTAATTACAAAAAAAATCGTATCGTAATAAATTTACATTCACAGTATACATAAAAGATAGCATTTAATATGGCGTAAATAAAATTACACAAAAATTTAATTTGATCGCAAAAAATTGTAAATATGGTTAAAAATGCCAAGTTTGCACATTTAACTTCAATATTCTCGGAAACTTAACGTGGTAGACCAATTTCGCCGCCGAGTTTGTTTTTATCAATTAAAAACCTATCAAAAAATATTGTTTGTTTAGGTCCCAAAAAGTGAGTTGAGCGGTGTAATTAATATCTTGTTAATTATTGCGAATTTCGTAAAATAATAAAAATCTTTTTGACTCACAAGGAGAGTGCACAATGTGATACCAATGAAACTCATTGTATCGATAGATCACTAGGCCATTACAGGGTAAACGAATATGACGCACTACTCAAGCATTCGCGAGTAAATTGAAATCAAAATTCTCGAGTACTATATACATAAACATATAAAATAGAGCGTTCAACCAAACGACGCGTAGCAGCAGCGTGTTAGATTTGAAGCGTCGACGTTGCTGGTTCGAGTCTTAATGAGATTTTCTTTTTTCTTCTCTTCTATATACAATTGCTTTTTACAATACACAATGCAATTAATACCCAAAATAAATATAATTAATAGATTATTGATAGATTAATATAGGTTACTGAGTATGTTTATAAACAGTGTTTAATAACAGCGGATAAATCAGTGCTATATACAATAAACAAATGTGAAACGTGTTTTGTAAAGACACATTTCTTTATAACATTTGTTGACCGTTATATTTTTTAAGCAAGTGGAAAATCCTGTCGCTAGATATTCTAAAAGATCCACGTAATTAAACAAATGCAGCGTTTATACAATGTACACAATGTCGTTTGAATTACTGCTTTGATTGTTTTCATGTAACTATTCCGAATCTTGCAAAATGGTATAGGACTTTTTGATTCAGATTTACTCTTTTTATCTGCCTACGAGAGATATTACACCAATTCTGGGACACCCTTTATATATATTATTTCATCTACATCACTTTCATCCTCCAATAAAAGACGTTTTACATTTATTTGTTGTGTATGGCACTGATCCGCTGTTATTGTTGCTTATAAACGCAATTAGTGATCTATTATTTTATCAATTCAATTAATCTATCACACACAATTAATGTATCACTAATCTATTAATTATTATATTTATTTATTTTGGGCATTAATTGCATTGCATTAATTGAATTGTATTGTAAAAAGCAATTGTATTTGGAAGAAAAGAAAAAAAGAAAACCTCATCAAAATTCGAATCAGCAACGTCGACGTTACGAGTCTAGCACGCTACCGCTGCGCTACGCGCTCTATTCGTGTTCATATAGCCTGTTCTACAATAAAGTCGTATGTCGCTGTCGGACGTCAGACGCAAGTGTGTTGCTGACCACTCGACTTACGACAGTTTTCGATGACACGAGTCAACTCGATACGCTTGCGCCCAACGTCCGACAGCGACTTATTGTAGAACGAGCTTATAGCACTCGAGAATTTTTCAATTCACTCGCGAATACATGAATAGTGCGTTTTATCTGTTTACGTTTCTGTATGTAGCATAGTGATCTATCGATACATACCCAGCAAACAATTTCTAACTGCGCAGACCTGGCAACAGAAACTGTGTGCAGAAACGCTACAATACGGAAACATGCTTTGTGTGCTGCCGAAGCTGTTGACACACAGACACAAAAAGCGCAACATGGTCACCAAAACTCACTAAAACCATATCCTACTGAAGACACAGATGGATATGGATTTGGTGTGGCGGTTGGCGACATCTGACAACCAAATTGTTTGCTGGGTAGATATATCAATGAGTTTCATTGAAATCGAGTGGTGTCACATCGTGGACTCCTCTTGTCAGTATAACTAACTTCTACCTGCTCACAAACTAGTATACAGCTATTACACTATATATGTACGTTATATTGCAAAGAGGGAGACCAAAATCAGTGGTTTTTTAGCTCATTTTTGGTCTTGCGATTTTGGAACTGAATTGTGTGCCAAATAATATTTTATGGTAAGACATCAATCACAGAAAATCTTCAAGTTAAGGCTATTATTAATTTAAGAGATATGTACACTCAAAGTAGTCAACATTTATTAAAGCATCACTCCATATGTTTTGAAACACGAATTTTTATGTCTGTCTAATACAATTTCAATATTGTATCTGGGAGTTTTGTTGGCTACTGATAACGAATTTGAAGTCAGATTTCCAAAGTTCACAATGGACGAATTAATGTAACGGACCACATCTACATATATGTTTAATTTCTACAAAAACTATCTAAGTTTTTTTAGTTGCTATTTCTGTATTTGTTCATATCTGTTTGTGCTTCTATTTGTATCTCTCTCTGACTGTTTCTGTCTGTTTTTGCTTCCATCTTTTTGTTTAGTATGATGTCGAAAGTTGTTTTGTAAATCGATCCTCAACAAAAACGTGCTATTTAATTTCCTTAAACAGGCAGGGTGACGCTTTAATAAATTTTTACTACTTTGATTGTACATATTTCTTAAATTAGTAATAGCCTCAACTTAAAAATTTTCTGTGATTGATATTTTATTTTAAGATATCAGTTGACACGTAATTTAGTTCTAAAATTGAGGGACCAAAAATGGGCTATTTTTTTATCTCTCTCTTTATAACAAAAAGTATGAATAAACCTACCGGATTTTGGCCCCAACGATGGAATCTTTTTTATGCATGTTTTCTTATGTCTTTGGATGTACTGAATTTAGAAAAAACAAAATTAAAAAGATGCTCCGATAGGAAAGTATTGAAAATTGTATTTAAAGTAGTCCCGATCTTAGTCTAATCTAAGATCAACGACGTGTAAATAACTAGTGTATGTGTGTGTGCATATGTGCGCGCGCGCGATTTAACGGAATGTCAGAAACTGTGTGTGTGTGTCTCTGTTGTGACACGCACGCACGCACATACGGGACTAGTTATATACATATAGTTGATCTCGGATCAGACTAAGAGCTACCTTAAATGCGATTTTCAATACTTTCCCATCGGAGCATCTTTTTAATTTTGCTTTTTCTGAATTCAGCACATCCAAAAACATAAGAAAACATGCATAAAAAAAGTTCCATCGCTGGGGCCAAAATCCGGTAGGTTTACTCATACTTCTTTATTATTTCTCTATACTATGAAATATGTATGTATATGAAATACGGCACCTTTGATATGTTAAGCGGTGACGTGTCCGAATTCCACTCACTAACTGAACTGACCGAACTGAAACTTTGACTAAGAGATTGACTGTGAGTGAAACTGCGAGACTGACTGATTCCGCTGACTGATTCACCAGAACTTCGACTGCCAGAACGTGTAGACAATTGATGTTGCGATTGATTAAAGCAAGTCTTATCTCGAGACTGCGCTCTATGCAAGTTTGGCGATTCTGTTTACAATGATGAAATAAAATTAGTTTGCAAGAATCATACACAAAATATGTTTAATATTTATATTATATTATACTAAATGTGCTTGCCGAGTACAGTTTTCGAAGTATTCTTGGAAAGATTCAAAATAGTGGGTTTTTGTTTAGTGCCAAACGAACTTTTCAGACGACTTGATTTTTGTACTTGATCGCCTCTATCTAAATGCATTTCAAACGCAGCTCTCATTCCTTCTTGTTCGAAAGGTGATGTCGGTATAGGTGGTGGTTGATACTGCGCGACATTTTTTAGGCGATTCGTACCATCATAATTTGAGTTTTTCTTGTCTGAATGTTTATCAGAAGAATTAAAATCATAACGATACGTGAAATTAAAACTTCCTTTTCGATTAATCGATATATTATTATTCTTTGTGTGCTGTGTTTCTGATAATACTTGATTTACAAAATTATTACTAGATCCAGAATAGCCTGTAAAATTATTAAAAAATATGTCAAATAACTCTCTTGACAAATAATGAATAATAATCACTACTAAAGTTAATCCTTCAGTGCCAGATATGGATCTCTCAGATCAATTCCAAAGTTTTAAACCGGCGTCTCTATTAGGTGTTAGTTTAGCGCGAAACCTGAAAGACATAAAAAAAAATTTAGGGCCTTAAACAATGGCAGACGTCGTTGACAGTGTCATTCACTTATCCAGCAAACACTTGAGTTGTGGGATGTCGCGATTTTGTCGCCAACTGCCAGCGACATTTGTAAATTAAATCCATGTCTATTTGTGTCCTCTTTAGAATATGGTTTGGTGACCATGTTTGACAAACATGCAAGATGTCAAAATGAAACCAAAATCATAACAGATCTGCCACTAGAAAAGCAAAGTCAAAGTGACGCATTAAATCCCGAACAGGTTTGGTCATCGTCTGGTGGGACCGTTTTTCATAAACAGATACTGTTACGGTTTTGCGGACTGTTTGGTCACTGTTTAGTATTGCTAAAAGCAGAGCTGCTTGTTATTGACCATCTATTTGTTGTCAATTTCACTGATATATATAGAATTGTGTTGGCCGCAATACTCTCATGTATATTGCAAACAGAGTTGTTGCGTCTTTTGTCTCTGTGTGCTAACAGCTTTGGCAGCATCAATGTATGTTTCCGTATTGTAGCGTTTCTGCAAACAGTTTCTAACCTTCTGCCAAGGTCTGCGCAGTCAGAAATTGTTTGCTGGGTTAATAGCTTTGCGAAGTTTGAATTTTGAAATGCAAAAAGATTTGAGAAACCCAGGTCTGGACAGAACGTTGGCATTTCGAAAAGTAAAATTTTTTTTCAGTTTGAGCATTTCTAATGTGTTAAATAAGTGCTGTTCTTTTATAATTTTATCAAAATATATGTACATTTATAGCGATTTATTAGGTCATTGCGCGCAGAAACGTTTCCACCGTTTCTTTGAAACTACTAGAGATTAAAATTTTTTTTTTATCAACGCAGAATCGTTTAAACTTTCTATTTAAAGAAATGTCCAAATATTGATTCATTCCTCAAATATTGCATGTCAAAGTTGAGCGCAAAAAAAATGTATTTTTCAAAAAACAACTTTAAAAAGACCCATTGCGAGAATAGGTTAGTTTTTAATTTTGCAATTTTTAGAAGACACTTTTTCTTATCCTTAAAAATACAAACAATTCCCTACAAAACGACGGTGGAATTTTGTAAAAATCTTAATTACAAAACAAATTATAAATGTTTACACAAAAAGCCTTTTTTCAAAAAAATTGGCAGATTGTTTTTTAAACGTTTATATCTTTGAAACAACTGAAGATTTTTTCAATCTGTTTCGTTTTAATCGACGCAGAATCGTTCAAACTTTCGATTCAATAAAACAAAATTGAAAACGTATTGATTTTTTACGGATATATTCGATTTTAAAGTTGCGTAGATTTCGCAGATCCGGACAACTCGTAGATCATTTTTTTAGATCTGGCACTGAAGGGTTAATACACTAAAAAGTTATGATTTTATATTATTTAAAACAATAATAATACCCTCAGGTTCAGTAAGTTGTTTTGCTACTGGCTTGAAATCCTCCAAAGTGAAATCTCTTGATGGACGATAATTAGATATCTGACAGCTGTCGTGATCGAGAGATATATGCATATTGTGTTTATAATCTAATATGTTGCTATTATGACTTGGAGAATCTTGTTGATTATGATTTATTGCATATCTTGGATAAATCGATTTATCATACTTTTTGTGTTGAGTATTAGCAAATTCCTGTGCTTTTCTCATCTGACAATTGGAGGAATCCGATATTTTTTTCTTATTATCTTCCGAGTGTCTTTTGATCATTTTACATTTGTAAAATTTATCACTTACACTATTCTCTTTGCTTTCAAATGGTACAGTAACAAAATTATCTGATTCACTGATTTGATGAGTATGCATGCATGCATTTATATCTCTCGAGTAGATGCTATTGCACAATAGTTCATCACTTTTATATATATCGCTTCTCGAAAATGTATCGCGTAAATGTTTTATTTGCTCGTTATACATTGTATCATCATTTAGATTTCTGTGTTGTACGTGCGCATGATCGCTAAAATCGGTAAATAACATATGCGATGAAGGTGTAGACGTGGTTATTGTACTTTGTCGCTGATTTTCATCTTGTTGTGACAGTATAAATTCTTCTATAGTGATATAATTCTCTGGTCCTCTATTACAATTACCGACAGATCTACATGTGACAAAGAATGTTACAAATATTACTCGTCAAATAAATAGTTTTAAAATATCATCGAGATTACATATAGGCAAATCCACCGTTAATACAGATTTAACTTTTATGATCTCTCTCTCCCTCTCCCTCTCCTTCTCCCTCCCCCCTCTCTCTCTCTCCCTCCCTCTTCCTCTCTCTCTCTCTCTCTCTCTCTCTCTCTCTCTCTCNCCTCTCTCTCTCTCTCTCTCTCTCTCTCTCTCTCTCTCTCCCCCCTCTTTTTCTTCCCCGTTCTAGCGCGCAGAAACCAACACGCGCAACGCATGTTGTATTTAAATTAAGAATCTTAGTCAAACAGTCCTAATGAATCTAACTCAAACTGTTTTTCATTATTATTTTGTATTTATACAAAAAAAATTAAGCCAGTTTTTATTTTATATACTAAAAATTCTTTTTGTATAAAACCTGGTTTACAAAATATTATATAGTACAAAACATTCTTTTTCTAAAAATCTGTTTCACACAAAAGAAGTGATATCAAAAAGTGTGTTCGCGTCGCATGCGTCAACATGCTCCTATCCGCTCCAACGCGCTTTTTTTCAATGAAACTTTAATAAAACTTTAAAACTTTTTTAATAAACTTATTCAATAAAAAAAAACTACCGATTTTGAACTACCGATTTTGCTGTTAGAGCGCGTTGGAGCGAGTAGAAGCATGTTGGGGCATGACGCGGACAAATCTAAGAGACATGATAGTAATTCGCGCCAAGTTCACGCGCAACCAAGTCGAGCTCAAACGGAACAAGGAACCCTTGCTATACGCGAAATTTACGTGATTGAGAAGTGGGAAGATCTTCACGGAGCCAGAGATGCCAGTTTGCGGACGCTAGCAGCATGCTCAGCAAGTAGAGAGGATACACAGACGAAACGCACACAGCCATGTACGTGTGCGCTCAGTGCTTCGGCGAGTGGCTGCTTGTTTGTGTGCGTATCCCCTCCACTTGCTGCTGCATGTTGCTAGCGTCTGCAAACTGGCATCTCTGCACGGAGCAATATTTCAATAACGACAGAACCGATCAATTTTATTTTAGTTTCAATGGCTTCAGACAAAAACATTTTTTAAAAAGTATTGTCGCGTTATTTTTGTTTGTGCTTCTGATTTGGAGATATGCGACGATAAAGTTTCGAAATGAAAAATTTACGTTTCAGAAACGTCGTCGTTGTCATCGTCGTCGTGCGACCAAATTGTGTGCATGTTCGTATGCCTGCTTAACAGATGACATACATATATGAGCGCGTTAAAAAAAAAAAAAAAAAAAGAAAGACAGAAAGTGTGAGTTAGAAAAAGAAAGAAAAAATCCAGAGGCACAGTAGTTGTTTCGCGTTATTCGCGCCGGCAACACCTCCGATAGTATACCGATCACTCCGACAATATTCCTCGCGGCGTAGTGGTTTCGCGCCGGTAACACCTTCGATATAACTTTTTTAAAAAAAAACTTTGAAACGTGGCATGCAGTAAATACAAACTATATACTTTAAATTTATAAAGTAGAAAATTAATTTAGAAAACGGGTTTGCAAAAAAATCAGACTCCGGCAATATCTCCGACAGTACCGATCGTTCCGACAAAGTTTCTCGCGACGTGTTGTTTCGCGACACGGTGCATAGTGGAATAAAGATCGCATTTTTTCTCGGGGGATATAACTTTTGTAAACTGTTGTGAAACTTGATGATGTACTTTTTAAACTATAACGTATATACTAAAAAATGTGTGATATCTCAAAAAATTTACCTTTTCAAAAAAAGGTAAGAACAGGCGCAAAAGGTAAATAAGGTAAGTACACTCACAACACGTGTTGTATTTAAATTAAGAATCTTAGTCAAACTGTTCTAATGAATCTAACTTAAACTTTTTCATTATTATTTTTTATTTATACAAAAAAAATTAAGTCAGTTTTTATTTTATACAAAAAATTATTTCTCTATAAAAGCTGGTTTACAAAATTTATATACTACAAAACATTTTTTCTCTAAAAACCTGTTTTACAAAAGAAGTGATATCAAAAAGTAGCACCAAGTAAATGTTTGTACGTTATTATATTGAAAAACAATATACAATAGAAAACAATAAAGAATAGAAATACAATTTACAATAACATACTTGTGTCGATAGTAAGACTACATTTTAACTTTTTTTCCGTTATTATATTGTTACACGGCGGTCACCGCGTATGTGTCGCGGGAGCCGCGTGAACGGCACGCGCTCGGCGCGACTGTTTGTTGCCGGGCGACTCGCGAGTTTGTTGAAAAAGAATCGCAACGGAAAGCTGTCACGTCGCGCCTCGACGATTCGTCCTGATACAATTTGTATTTTCATATTGTTTGTATTCTGAGTGTTAATAAAGTGCTTTGAGAGAGAGACCGCGCTTCTTCGTTCGCCGCGAACGTGCTCGTGAATTTCAGTGGCCGGCGATAGTGCCGTCTCGCCTCCGCGGGCGTAACAATATACTAAAAATATTCTTTCTCTAAAAACTTATTTTACAAAAGAAGTGATATCAAAAAGTAGCACATAAACTTTTGTATGTTATTATATTTTTGAAAAACAATATACAATAACATAATTATGTCCATAGTAAGATTACGCCTTAACTTTTTTTCCATGATTATTAACTAATTCTAAGTACTTACCCAGATAGCCAAGTCTGTCAAAAGCAGATCATGCAAGTGTCTGCTATCACCTGTTGTCAACAAAAAGGTTACAAATCTGATACAGAAGTTGTTATTATTGATTAAGTCTACAAATTGGTGCCAAAAATCGAGCAGATCTTGCTCAAAAAATCTGACAGCAGATTGGCTGCAGAAACCGAGCAAGATCTGCTAACATGATTGTCGGCAGAAACCGAACAAAATCTGCGCACGCACACTCTAACGGCAGATTGGCAACAGAAACCGAGCAGAATCTGCAGCTTTTGGCGATTC